TGAAGGGGGGAAACCATGTATAGTCTTTACAAACACTTCAGACAATCTAGTCACAATCTCATTGCTCTGGTGGATGTAGAGGTAATGCTTATACTATGTGCTAACTGAGTTAGGGCCACTCTCTAGCTGGGAAGTGACATTTCTCTCATTCTAATGTCACAGAACTTTGCCTGCTAGAAGGGGGGTGGGGGAAATGATGATGGAGTAGAGGGTTTGGTGTACTGTCTTTGCCATGGTGTGGCGGCACCTGAAATGGTGGACTCTTTTGGTCTATGAAGGTTCAGAGCCTACAACAACAAACATGCACAAACTATAGGACACTGAAGGGTACCCTATCTAGACAGGACAGGGTTTATAATCTACACACTGACCAGCAAACTTCCTCCATTTGTTTCCTTAAGATTTCGCCTGGAGCACAGACATTAAGTGATGCACAAACACTGCAAGGCGGCCTGCAGGTCCAAGCAGCAAGTTAAAGGTCATCCTCTGAAGGGCAGTGAGACACGGAGCAGGTCAGCATGGGGAGGATGGAGCTAGACCGAAAGGAGTCCTGGGGTTGGCTTCTTACCTGATCATTTGCTAACTTTTCTTAAACCACACCACTGGGGTAGCTGCTATGAATACTGCCTACAGGGCCTGAGATGTGGCAGGGTTCACTAACTATCCCCAGTCAAGGCCATCTCTTAATGCATTGTCCTTTCAGGAAGTCACCAAAGGCATGACCAGGTGGCTGGACAGTGCTAGCTTCCATGGTGAGTGTTGGCAAAGGACTCAGTAGGTACCGAGAGCCAGGGAACAAAGGGATGAGCTGGTTGGGATGCTTGACACATTTGGTTAATGTTCTGCTCAGGGTTATAAGGGTGAACTGATCATCCAGGCAGAGTTGAGCCAAGGACTAGAAAGGATAAGAAGTCATTCTTACTCACTTTCTCTGTAACCCAAGTCGCACTGACTGAGAAATACTGAGACTAGTGATCACTTGGGTGTTGTTAGTTCAGACTCAGAGCTGAGGAATCAGGAGATCAGATGATGGAGGCATCAACAGCAAGAGGGCCATGAACACAAATACATCTGTTTGTGAGTTGGTCATTAAAAGAGATGACCAATGTTCATTCTGGTTTTAGCCTCTATTTTGAAGATGGTGGGGGAAAACCTGCAACAATGTAGCTGGAAGGCGCTGATTGTCCTTGAAGACAAAGGAATGCATACTATGGTTGAACTGTCTTGCATCCCAGGCTCCTGGAACACTCATTGCTACAACTGCAAGGCATGTTCCTTCCTTACTAGTGACTTAAGGGGGATGTTTCTACATGAAGATATTTATGACTCTTATGTAGAAAAGTCTAAGAAATATCTTTACATAAGCACTTGCTTAAATAAAAACTCAACTTAAACTTGTCATTTAATTATTGTACTTAGACTTTCCATACATAACTGAAAGACAAACATTTCTTATGTTCCACATCCTGATCTGACACCCTCTTCTGGTCACCAGTCAGCATGGTGTTGACATGGTGCACACACATATGTGTGGGTGAAACACCAACACATTAAAAAAAATACTTAGATGATGGGAGATGTCATTCTGTAAATATGTTTCTCTTATTGGTTAATGAATAGAACACTGTTGGCCAACAGGAAAGCAAGATAGGCAGAACTAGGAGACTAGGAGGATTCTGGAAATAGTAGGAAGGAGATCCAAGATGGAGGACTGAGAGAGAAGCATGCCAGGGTCTCTCCCTGGTAAGATAAGACCATGTGGAAGTACTTAGATTAATAGAAATGGGTTAATATTTAAGACAGAGTCAGCCAATAAGAAACTAGTAACTGGCCTACAGAATTATATGTGATACAGCATCTCTCTGTATTGTTTGGGGCTGGCGCAGCAGTGGGACCAAAACAGACTGGCAGGAAAAACATACTCTTAACATATTGGCGTCCACAATGTGGCTAATAAGATCTTCCACTTAAAACTTAATAAAAGCTTAAAAAAAAGGTTTTAGAAACCAAAGAACAGAGCTAATCAAGGCTTCTTTCTAACATCATTTTTCTCTCTTGGACTTTGTTTTGCTAGAGACAGCAGAAATTTGCACAGCTCCTTTAAGGGAGGTTTCCTGACTCAGCATAAGTGGCAAAAAAAAAAAAAAAAAAAAACCCACAAGGCTTTTAAAGAGCTCTGCTAACAACTGAATGTTGTGTAGGAGAGCTGGCAATGGCAGTAACCACATCTCCAAGCCAGCAGCATGCTGCTGGATGGCAGTGTAGACCAAGGCAGTGAGCACAGCTCTTAAGTTTTGGCAATAAAAGTACTGGCAGCCATCTTGGATAGATAGCGGCTGAAACAACTGTAGCTTTCATTTTAGCAATTTTGTTGTTTACCAGATAAAAGACTCATGGCCAGAAAAAAGATAAAGATTTACAGTAAAGACAGATTCAGATGAAGATAAACGTCTAAAGGTTTACAGTGTGTTTTAAAATATATGTAGGATCAGGAGAGAAAAAGAATAAAATGGTTTTAAAAAAAAAAAAGGACAATTGAATTAGAGTGGCTGGGTGTGGTGGCACACACCTTAAATTCTAGCGCTTGGGAGGCAGAGGCTCCCAAGTAAATCTGCTGTACAGAGTTAACACTGGGACAGATAAAAGTTACACAGAGAAACTCAAAAAATGAAAAAAAAAAAGAAGTAAAAGAAATAGAGTAATAAAAAATCCATGTAAAGATGGAAAGCACAGAGAAACTTTGGATACTATATGCTGTTCTGTTATCTTTAAATTATTTGACTGCTGAGGAAATAACAACTGTTAAAAGAAATGCTGTTGGATTAATTAAATTTATATATTTTAAAAATGCTTTGACTCCAAAATTTAAGTCTAAGAACAGATTACTGGGGAAAAGGATTTCTACTTTTGTTTCCACAGAAAACTTCCAGACTAACATGGTTTGATCAAGCAAGATCCCCTGAAACAGTGTCCCAGGTGATCCAACATTCAAAACAATTGGGACAAGCCAGCCTTGCAGACTATGCCAGGATTTCTTCATCTTTTTAGGATTCTCCCAAGACAGCGCCCCCTACCAGCAAGAAGCTGTTTGGAAAGAACGAGGCCCAAATTTCCAGATACTGTCTATAAATGTTTGTTTTCATTTAAATGGTGTTGGTTACAAATGGTTAATGATCACAACCACTCTCTTTTTAAGGTAAAAAGGGGATTATGGTATAGATATGAATACTTTGTTTTGGAATGGATTTTCATTTATTGATACAATTTAAGGTCAATTTTGTGATATGTATATTTCTCCTCTTGTTTAGGTATTGTGTTTAATAGTCAAAACTTTAGTTAGTTGAGTTAGGTTTTCTAGATATACAGAGTTGTATTTGAGTGAATAGGCATTCTTCAAACCTTTAAAAGACCTACAGAATATGGCATTTAAAATGGTTTAGGGTTTTTCTTAACAGTGAGGCACAACTGCTCCTGGCAACACCACCTGTCAGAAAGGAAGATGGACAGCAAAGAAATATGTTATGGAGTTTACTTTCAATATGACAAGACTAGCCATTTGGGTAAGATACTGGTCTTGTCTGGACTGTTTAACTTTATGCTATATAAACTGGACATGCAGGACCCACAGGAAAGTGACTGCTGATACAAGATGGACAATGCTATAGGGTCCTGATTCATGAAAGAGTCTGCCAGACAGTCTGCAGGATACAGAGAAAAGTGACTGATAAACAGCCAATACAAGAAGACAGTTTAAAGTTTCCTGCTTTGCTGAGGAGTCTGCCAGACACACTATGGCCTATGGGCTGAAGGTGGAACATTACAGAAGAACTTTGGGTGACTGACCAGGCAGTGAGTTGTCTCTGTCATTTCTAGAGTATATATTATCCTTCTGTGGTCTTTGAGGGAGTTGAAGACAGATAGTTATGGTTATAGTTTTCCTTAGTATTAAAGATAAGTCACATATAAGACTTTAGACTCACAAAGATAGGATAGATGATAGAATGTTTTCTTTAAATCTTGCTAAATGTTAATGGACTGAACATTGTCAATTATGGTTCTTATTTGATAACTGTTATGTTATATATTTTATTATGTTAAGGTTAAAACCCTTTTTATTTTAGACAGAAAAGAGGAGATGATGGGAGATGTCATTCTGTAAATATGTTTCTCTTATTGGTTAATGAATAAAACACTGTTGGCCAATAGGAAAGCAAGATAGGAGGGACTAGGAGACTAGGAGGAGAGAGGAAGGAGTAGGGAGGAGATCCAAGATGGATGATGGAGAGAGAAGAATGCCAGCCCCTCTCTTCGGTAAGATAAGACCATGTGGCTGTACTTAGATTAATAGAAATAGGTTAATAATTAAGACAGAGTTAGCTGATAAGAAACTAGTAACTGGCCTACAGCATTATATCAAATACAGTGTCTCTGTGTATTATTTGGGGCTTGCACAGCTGTGGGTCCAGGCTGGCAGGGGAAAACCTTACTCATAACACTTAAGTCATTAATAATTCTAGTGAATTATTACTATGCAAAAGTACAGATTAGAAAAACTAATCACCGGTATAATCTGATAGTATGTATAGCAAAGCAGCCAGTACTAAAATATATTAGCATGGTGATATTTACTGTCATAACTTAAACTCTTCTAAACTGACTTAAAGATGAGCGCCAAGGTGTAACCCGCCCACTCTCTGGGCCACTGTTGTAGACACTGAACTATAGTCACTCCTGGATTCCTGGCAGGACTGCACCCATGCTGTGACTTTGATTGGCACATCTCCTCACTGTAGCCACAGTGCAGAACCAGAAGGGATCACTGGTGCTCCCTGAGGTTTCTCATGCAAACTCCCTTCACTCAGTCTCCAGCTCTACTCTCATGTTAAGCTTGGGGTAGAAAGTCAGAAAGATAACTGCCTGATGTTCCTGAACTCTTCAAGATTTTTCTGTAAACATTCCCTAGTCAACAGTAAACATACACCTTTTAAAAACATGCTTACCCAGGCAGAATGGTTGAAGAGCACTCTTCACAGGAATTTCACAGGTAAAGTTCAGTCTTTCAAGGGCTTTTGTGGCTATGAAGGACTTTATTATTTCAGGACAGGGCTTAAAGACTAAGTAGCTGGCAGCATAGAGCACATATCGAAGCCAGCACAAAAGTGGAGTGGCAATCCTGCCTTTGGGTGTCTCAGACATCTGCTCAATAGTGGGAAGCAGCAGGAAGGTGTGGATGACCTACAAGAAAGACAGATGCTTGGATGAGTGGTTCTCATGAACCCCCTGGTGGGTGTTCTTCCTACACTGTGCTAACTGGGACCAGGCCTAGAACACTACTAGAGATGATATCAGACCAAACTAAAGCCAACTATATTCTTACCCCATGACCACTCTGGATAGGACCTGAGCTCATTCCTAGGGGCATTGTGGCTAACTGTTGGAAGGAGGAGGAATGCTAGACACTTCCTAGATCATGATGGTAATTCACCATTCCCTTAAATGATTACTGAAGTAGGAAGCACTACATGAACTTGACTTTGATGGTACCACACGGATGCTTCCATTGCTATCAGCAAGCCTCTGTTGATTAGACTTGGACATAGTTCCCTTTTCAAAAGGCTCTTCAATTCCTAAGGATAACAGACAATGACACTCACCAACAGATCTGGATATGTTCCCAGGGTTGTACCAGGTATATTGCAATGTGGGTTTCTCTTAACTTCATTGCAGTGTTGAAGGATAAAACCATTAGTACAACTCAATCAAAGAAACAGAGATATATCCAAATACTTTTGTGGGTGAAAATGAGCATCCCTCAAACAGTTTTAAGTCAAAGGGTATTTACCACATGGTTATTGCTGAACTGAACATAATCTGTACAGGAGATCAGAAAAGCCAAAAAAGTTATGTACAATTCAGTAACAGGAATATAAATAGTGCACCTCAAGAATATTAAAAGACCATAGAACAGAAAATAACAGATGCTATCCATGTAAGTTCCTTGATCTTTATTTTTATATTATATGTATGAGTGTTTTCTTGCATGCTTGCCTGTGCACCATGTATGTGTATGTAGAAGCAGGAAGAGGCTGGTGGATCCCCCTGGGACTAGAATTACAGACAGTTCAAAGCCATTATGTGAGTATTAGGGATCAAAGTTAGGTTCTCTTAAAGTGCAACAGATACTCTTAACCACTGAGCTATCTCTCCAAACCCATCCCCTTAATTTTCCTTAAATACAGTTGAGCATTTCATGTGTGTGTGTGTGTGCACATATATGCACATCCCTGCATGTGCTTGAATACATGTATGCCAGGATGTACATGTGGAAATCACAGATAATTTGTGGGAGTTAATTCATTCCTTCCAGTGTGAACTGAGGATGTCAGGCTGGGCACCAGTCCTGGCTTTATTCTTAAATATTTTGGTTCAACACAATACACACAGTGAGGCTTGTCAAGTATACATATGCCACACAGCAAGTCACTATAAACCAATCACGAGGCACGAGAAGATGCAGAGAGCAGAGCCTGCTTGTGAGTCTCCAGTCATGAGGCTTCATGTCAGCATCCATCACCCCACAATGGCAGTTGTTTCTGGCCTACATCAGTGTTCACGGTCCCTCACATCTGAGATCATCTTTGTTAACGAACTGTATGTCACACAGCGCACTTCAGTTTAAATGTTTACCAACCTCGTGTTTACAAACCTCATCTCTGTTGTCTTCCTTCATCTTTGCTAATTTTCCACTATATGAATATACAAACAGTATTCATCTTACTGATAGATATTTGAGTTGTTTTCAATCTTTAGTCAGATCTTACTTTCTGATCCAGTGTTTTCTGTCTGAAGAAAGTAACACAGTTCATGCAGGGTGGGCACTGACGACCACTCTCTTCAGCTGTTCTCATCTCAAGGGTTGTTACTCTTTCTTTACCTCTGAAGGATGATCTCACAGGATAGAGAATTCCAGATTAGTGTTTTTCTTTTCTTCTCCAGCACACTAACCATGGCACATCCTCTCTCTTCCTGTTAGTGTGGATTCTGAGAAGTTGGAAATGATTCCTGCCTTTGCTTCTCTGTAAGCAGAGATCCTGTTTTTTTCTCCCTGTCTCTCATGATTTCTTTATTTCGTCTTCCTGTAGTTTATAAGCTCACACCTAACTGTAGCATGCTTTAGGGAGGTGTTAATCCAGTGTGGTGTCTTCTCAGGTCGCTGTGTCTCTTGTATGGTGTCTGACATGAACTTAGTCGTTATCCTTTACAGTCACTTTCTGTTTCTTTCTCTCCTGCAGTATTCCTGTTACCCTTGTCCCATCTTTTGTAGAGTCCTATAGTCTTCTGAGATTAATTTTCCTGGTTCTCTTTGCTTTTTTGACTTTAGGGGTTTCTTTTGAGATGTCTTCAAGTTCAGAAATCCTTTATTCACCAAGATGAAGTTCCTCACACACTCAACACAGCCATCTTCATTTCTGTTACAGTAGTTTTGATGGCAGCATGCCCACACCTCATAGGAATCCCATATCACTTCATGTTGGCCACCTGTTCTATTGGAACTTTTCATGTGTTCATCATAGCTGCTCAGAAGTCCTGGTCGTCTCATCTGCACGTCCCACATATATGAGTCTGTTGCTTACTCTACTTCTCAAGTTGTGCCTTTTGCTACTTAGCATGTCTTGTAATATTTTTCCTACTATCTATACAAAATGTACCAGGGATGATTAGCTGTTCAAGTATGTTATTAGAAACACAGTGCTCTTGTGTAGTTCACAGGTATCTTTGTCTGTGCTTTTTGCCAAAAGTACAGGGGAATAATTCTACAATAGCTACTGAGAGCCAGATTGAGCTCTTGGGAGACAAATCTCAAAATTATATAGTTCCCGCAATGTCTGGGACCTCCTGGAATTTTTAAACTTCAGAGTCCTCTACTCTGAGCCTTCAGAATAAATCAACCACTTTCCACCAGGGTTTCAACTTGTGATAAACTCTGATAAACTGTCATACTTTGTATGACCCTGTCTTTCCCTCTGACCTTTGGTACCCATCAAGCCTGCTTGGCTTTACATGGGATCTGGGCATTTGAACTTGGGTCATGTATGTATGGTGAATGATTTGCCTGCTGAGTCATCTCCCCAGACTCTTCTTTCTTTTAAATACATGTTGTGTGATTCTTTTTCCTGAAGGAATAGGAATCATCGTCTGCTCAAGCATAAGGGGCATCGATGACAGGAACAAAGGAATGATTCTATCCAGTGAGTTTACCTGGAGTTGCTTTCAGGACTGTAAGCAACTTATGAATGCTACACAGTTAGAAGAACTGTCTTTCCCAGTTATTGTTAGTTAATATTCCTGGGGAGGGAGTGGGGGCTTTGTGAGCCCCTCCTCTGCCCTATGAAGGAAAATTAATGAACTCACTTCTGTACAAATATCCTTCCAGGAATTACAGCTGCATACTGTTTAAGAGGACAATGGTCAAATAATGCCTAAGGGACAGTGTGCCACAACAGTTATCCTGACATATTCTCAAGGACACAACTTTGTGCCTTTGATTTATATGTCCCTGGTGATCCATGATGATGAACACATTTTCAGACATATATTGTTAATGATATTTTCTTTTGAAGACATATCTAATTGTGTTTTGATCATTTATAGAATGTGTTTGGCCTTCTATTTAAAAAAATTATATTAACATTTAGATATGTATATGCGGGAATATGTGTATATATGTATATACACACACACACAAAATGCACATAGATTACAACATGTGGGAATCAGTTGTTTCCTTCCCCCATCTGGGATCTAACTCAGGTAGTTAGGCTGTGGGTAACAGCCTTTACTCAAGAAGCCATAGTGATTACCTGGTCTTCTCTTTCCAGTTACTGTTCTTTGTGGGTTTTTTTTTTTTTTAATTCTTCTCTAACTGCTAATAAAGAATTTGTTTTTTTCATTCAAAATGTTTCTTTATACTAAATTAGATATGCTGGCCCTTATCTTCTTTACAATGCAGTCCCAAGCCTTTGGATGTATGACATCACTTGTGGGGCTGTTCTCTGATTTTAGATATCAAGGAATGTTTGACCATTTCCTTCATTTATTTCTATGTTTCTTTCTGAGTGAAACCAATGCATTTTCCCCATTCTTTCTGTCTCTTTTTCATCTCTTGTGTGGGAAGTTCCTTTCTCATTGTCACCTGTTTTATGATATTGCCCAAATGCCAAATTTGGTCAGGTGTCCCCGGGAATTTTCCTTTTGTGTTTCTTGATAATATGGAACAGGGATTTGAGAGTGAAAACTGAGGAGGGCTATTTCTTTCTAGTCAGACCTTGTTTTTTCTTGGTCCTATCTTTCAGCTAAGTATTCAGCTATTTCCTGTAGACTTTTTCTTCTACAATAGTTGAGATATTTTGTTTCCATTTTGATCACAATAGTTTGAACTTCTCTGTGTTTCCTCCTCTGTCCAGTAAGTTATTATTGTTCTTGAGTCCATGCATGGCCTATGATGAGTGAAAATCCTTTGGAGGAGGGGCTTTTTCACACAACTTGAACTGCTGCTTTGGTCGCAGTGCATTGCAAATGCCACAAGATGCTTCTTAGACAAAATGCAGCTTTTCAGCCACAATATAAAGAGAGATTCTGATCTCAACCAGAAAGTATGTTTTGTACACATTCTAATCCTGTAAAGTAGGTATTTGTCATGTTACTTCAACACTAAAAAAGCATGCTATAGGACTCTGGGGGTAAAGCTAAGAAAAATATTTGAGGAATCAGAGTTGTATCATATTAACCAATGGCTTTCCACCTCCCAATTCAGAGTTCTATCTTTTAGGTAATCCTAATGGCATGAGTAACTGTCATTCCAGAAAGCGATAGAGATGCCATGTTAGACTTAAGGAGACTTAACTGATTTCAAATGTGTGCATCTGTGCTAAGTAGCGACTCATATTGAGACAGGTAGGGTTTCTTCTATGTCCTGTTGTGTAAGGAATATGGTTTTTCCTCCCGCTGCCAGTCTGGTCCTGCCACCGGGCCAGCCCCAATTAACACACAGAGACTCTGTATATGATATAATTTTGTTGGCCAGTTACAAGTTTTTTTTTTATCGGCTAGCTCTGTCTTAATTATTAACCCATTTTTATGTATTTTTACGTGTTCTTACTAGCAATAGACGGCTGGCGGTTTTATTCTCTCCAGATTCTCCATCTTGACTCCTTACTACTTCCCATTTCCTCCTT